ACCATTTGCAGCTTCTTTCAAGCCCTCATTACAGTGTTACAACAACGAAAGCAAAAGATTGTTAATAAAAAAAGGTGCCAACGTGAACTTCCCTCAAAATCGCTTGACACAAGTCAAGCATCAAAGATCACTACTTTATTAACTTCCATGCTGCTGACCATCGCTTTTCCTGGAGTGAAATTCTGGCTTTCAAATATAACGTCGTCAATTTTCCAAAAACCAAAATTATTGCTGTACCTAAAAGAGATCCTCCATTCAGCTTGTGTCGTATCTTACACCAAGCGGCATAAGAATCATCTTGAAGAATCCCGAATTCGCCATACAGATCCTAGAAAGAATTTAATCGAAGGATCAAATATTTGGAATCTGACAGTAATCGACAATATTGACTTCAAGGCTTCTACGTTCCAATATGACAATATTTTTGACACTACGCGACAAACTTCACATGCAACATTACGAATGATATTTCAGTTCGTTCTGCCTACCTCTCTTGACAATCTAGTCAGAGACCAGAATTCCATCAATCAATCACTGTTCGGGGAATCCTCAACCACCAACAATCTTCTAGTGACGTACGAGACTATTTTGAATATAATGTTAGAAACTCGTATAAATGACTTTGGTATGGAAGATGTGCATTCAGAAATCACCAAACAAGTACCTGTAGTTTGCAATACTTTACCAACAAACGTCATGATATTGAAACCTGGTGATCCACCCAATTGTAATGAAAATGTTCATGCAGCATGTGAAATGTACCGTGATGATTTACCTCGTGGTGACCGTCTATATATTGTGTGTGATCAGGCAATTTTTGCAAGGTTAATCTCTTATAAGGAAATTAACAATGATGTTCGATTTCTCTTGGGGCAGTGGCACACATCTAAAGATATGTACAGCACTCTAATTATGATATTCTTAGGGTATGGAATATTCAACATTGCAGTAGCCCTTGGCGTACGATACTTAGATAAATTTGAACACGTCGTAGATTACAGGGTAACGTGCCGTGTTTTGAAATTGATCTGGATTGCAGTCAGAATTGTGTTATCTCAGCATGCGAAAGACAAAGGGGAAACCATGAATGATATTTTGAAGGGTGATAATCAATTAATGAAGATATGGTATCTTTTCTTCTGTTGGACAGGATACTTTGTGGAGCATAAAATTGAAATTAGAAAGGGAAATTATAGAATGCAGATAGCAAATTTGGCTGCATTCGCACCCCTTTTTCCTGCAGCTGGAAAGTTTAAGTACGCAAGTTCTGTAGCGCACTTTTTAGCTCAAGTTCACGATGATCCACAGCTACAGAAATTGCTACAGACTGTATGCTCGGTAAACCTTGCAAATGAGAGACACTATTTAGCTTTTGATGAAGCGCTTGAAACTTACAGCGTAAAGTTCATCAAACAAAATATAACTGGAAATCTTACCGACCAGTCGACTGTGATGCTGAAGATTAAGGCAGTCCAGAGTGAGAAAGATCATCTATCAATGCTTCTTGCAGAATACACTGATGACATTGTGACAAGTCAAAACGCTCACGTGATCAAGTCATGCAAAGATTTGCTCTGGTCCTTGGTCGCAAAGTTATCATCCACCTTTGGTGAACCAAATCCTGCAACACACTATTTGTTCGGAAATGCACCAAAAATTAGTGAAAATGGCATTAAGAATATTCTTTCTTTCTATGAGTCTGAAAAATTGCGTTTTCAACAAATACTTACGCAGGATGTGTATAAAACTGAGCTCCGAGTAGCTACTGGACGTCACGCATGAAATGTAGTTAATTACACTCACACTCAACTTGAGAATATGAAGAAACACAAACCAATCCAAGCGTTAACTGTTCAACAGAACACTTCAGCATCTGAAATTAGCCATCCAAAATAGACACGTCATGTTATTACAGATACAGAGAAAACGATACTTATCCAATTGTTCAGATTCGAAGATTTAACCCCCGAAGACGCAATCTCGCAAGTGTTGTTGCAACTAGAGATGGCGCAGCAAGTATGTGACGCTTATTTGTCATCCGTTACAACACGTTGCAACTCCAAAATTTTATAAGCCGCAACTAGTTGCAACTAGGTGATGTTTTATTTGTCACCATGTTGCAACAGTTGCCACGCCATCTTTAGTTGCAACTCCAAACTGTCTTTTCAAGCTGGACGGCTGAAAGAATCAAACAGTATTGGAGAAATAACTGTCCCAACCCCAACAAGAGAATTAAAAAAATAGAGTAATATTAGATCATCAATCTCGAATTGTTATATATAGCGAGCGAAGCACTTACATGATCCTGGTAATCTTTGAACCTCTCTAGCTTCCGCGAATATCGCAAACTGGTAGATAAAATCCCCTCCTCCCCCCCTCCCAAGTCAACTAAATTTTTTGTTAAACCATATACTTGTTAATAAATAATCTAACCGGTGTTATGGTCCGGAATTATCTTAATTCCTTAATTTTAGTCATGTGATAGAGCAGAAATAACAGAGATAGCAGAGATAGCAGAGATATCAGACATATCAAATATATCAGACATATCAGACATATTAGACATATCAGACATATCAGACATATCAGACATATCAGACATATCAGACATATTAGATATATTAGACTTAGCACATTAATCTATCATAACACAGTTATCCAAT